ATCTTGTTTATAGTTTGCTGTGCTGTGAAAAAACTTTACTTTTAATTAGGTCCCATTTGTTTATTTTTGTTTTTATTTTCATTAATCTAGGAAGTGGGTCAAAGAGGATCTTGCTGCAATTTATGTCAAAGAGTGTTCTGCCTCTTTTCTTTGAGTTTTTCAAGTTTCTGGCCTTACATTTGTCTTTAATCCATTTTGAGTTTATTTTTGTGTATAGTGCTAGGAAGTATTCTGATTTCATCCTTCTATATGTAACTGTCCAGTTTTCCCACCAACAGTTATTGAGAGGGTTGTATATTCTTGCCTGCTTTGCCCAAGATAAGTTGCCTATAGGTGTGTGGGTTTATCTCAGGCTTTCTATCTTGTTCCATTGGTCTATATTTCTGTTTTTGTGCCAGTACCATACTGTCTTTAGGGCCTCCCTCATAGCTCAGTCAGTAAAGAATGTGTCTGCAATGCAGGAGACCAGGGTTCGATTACTGGGTCAGGAAGATCCCCTAGAGAAGGAAATGGGAACCCATTCCAGTATTCTTGCTTGGAGAATCCCATGGACAGAGGAGCCTTGCAGGCTACAGTCCGTAGTCACAAAGAGTCACACACGACTGAAGTGACTTAACATGCATGCATCCATAGTTTTCTGCACACAGATCTTTTGCCTCTTTAGGTAGATTTATTCCTAGGTACTTTATTCTTTTTGTTACAATGTTGAATGGAATTGTTTCCTTAATTTCTCTTTCTGATTTTTCATTGGTCATGTATAGGAATGCAAGGGATTTCTGCGTATTAATTTTGTATCCTGCAAATTTACTAATTCATTGATTAGTTCCAGTAATTTTCTGGTGGCATCTTAAGGGTTTTTTATGTATAGTATCATGTCACCTACAAACAGTGAGAGTTTTACTTCTTTTCCAATCTGGATTCCTTGTATTTCTTTTTCTTCTCTGATTGTCATGGCTAGGACTTCCAAAACTATATTGAATAACAGTGGTGAGAGTGGGCACCCTTGTCTTGTTTCTGATCTTAGAGTAACTGTTTTTAGTTTTTCACCATTGAGAATAATGTTTGCTGTGGGTTTGTCGTATATGGGCTTTAACATGTTGAGGTAGGTTCCTTATATGCCCATTTCCTGGAGAGTTTTTTTTTTTTTATCATAAATTGGTGTTGAATTTTGTCAGAAGCTTTCTCTGCATATATGGAGATAATCATATGGTTTTTAATCTTTTATTTTGTTAATTTGGTGTATCACATTGATTGATTTGCATATATTGAAGAATTCTTGCATCCCTGGGATAAACTCCACTTGATCTTAGTGTATGATTCTTTTAATATGTTATCTGATTCTGCCTGCTAGAATTTTGCTGAGAATTTTTACAAATATGCTCAAGAATGATATTCATCTGTAATTTTTTTGTGTGTAGTAAACTTTTCTTATTTTGGTATCAGGGTGGTGTTGGCCTTGTAAAATGAGTTTGGGAGCTTTCCACCCTCTGAAATTTTTTGGAAGAGTGGCCATGGACAGTCTTAAGTCTCTATGTGCACATATATTCATTTTCTTAGGTAAGTAGCTGGAAGTAGAATTGCTGGATCATGCCAAAGAATTGATGCTTTTGAACTGTGGTGCTGGAGAAGACTCTTGAGAGTCCCTTGGACTGCAAGGAGATCCAAGTCCATCCTAAATGAGATTAGTCCTGGGTGTTCATTTGTAGGACTGATGTTGAAGCTGAAACTCCAATACTTTGGCCACCTGATGCAGGGAGCTGACTCATTGAAAAAGACCCTAATGCTGGGAAAGAGTGAAGGCGGGAGGAGAAGGGGACGACAGACGATAAAATGGTTGGATGGCATCACTGACTCAATGGACACGGATTTGGGTGGACTCCAGGAGTTGGTGATGGACAGGGAGGCCCAGCGTGCTGCGGTTCATGGGGTCGCAAAGAGTCGGACATGACTGAGCGACTGAATTGAACTGAAGGATATGTTTAACTTTATATAAACTGCCTGAGTGGCTTCCAAAATGGCTATAATCTTTTACACTGTCATCAATAATTTCTGAGAGTTTCATTTCTCCCAGAACAAAGCTTTCATGCTACCCCTTTATAGCTATAGCTACCCATCCCAGCATCCCTAATCTGGTACCAACTAATCAATTCTCCATCCCTATACTTTTGTTAGTTTAAAAAAGTTACATAAATAGACTCATACCATAGGTAACTTTTAAAGACTGGTCCTTTTTACACTCAGCATAACTCCCTTGAGTTTCATCCAATTTATTATGTGTATTAATAGTTTCATTTGTTTGTTTTGTGTAGTACTCCATGGTATAGATACACCACAGTTTGCCACACTTTATTTAACCATTAACCTATTAAAGGGCACTTGGCTAATTTACAACTTTTTGGCTATTTTTGTGTTGAACAGATTTTTGCACGAATATAAGTTTTATTTTTCTAGTGTAAACACCCAAGAGATCATTGGCTAGATTATATCATATGGTAGGAAAAATAATGGCTCTCCAAAGATGTCCAGGCCCAATCCTTAGAATCTGTGAATATGTTGCCTTATGTGGTGAAAGGGACTTTGTATATGTACATATATATTGAGGATAATTTCCTTGATTATCTTCATGGGCTCAAAACAATCAAAAGGGCCTTAATGAGAAAGAGGCAAAAAGGTCAGAGTCACAGATATTTGAAGATGCTACCCTGCTGGCTTTGAAGATGAAGAGACATGAGCCAAGGAATTGCAAGTGGCTTCTAGAAGCTGGAAAAGGTGAAGAATAGCTTCTTCCCTAGAGCTTCCAGAAGAAACACAGTGCTGCTCACAGTTTAATTTTAACTCATAAGATTTATTCTTACTTCTGACCTCTGAAACTATAGGTAATGAATTTGTGTTGTTTTCAGCTAGTAAGTTTGTGGTAATTTGTTAACAGCTTAAATATAAAGCTAATACATATTGTAAATAAATTTTTTGTTGTAGAAGGAACTCCCAAACTATTTTCCAAAGTGAACAAGGGTGGGGGGTAGTAGACGTGGAGGGAGGGTAGTAGACATGACTGATATAGGCAGGGATAGATCACTAAGTCTCATAGGACAGGTTAAGGAGTTTAGATTTATCCATTGTGGAATAGGAAATCACCAGAAGATTTCCTTGGAAGAAAAGCTATGATCAACCTAGACAGAATATCATAAATCAGAGACATTATTTTGCCAACAAAGGTCCGTCTAGTCAAAGTTATAGTTTTTCCAACAAGAGTTGGTGATGCACAGGGAAGCCTGGTGTGCTGCAGTCCATGGGGTCACAAAGAACTGGACACGACTGAGTGACTGAACTGAACTGAATTGGAAAGATTTCAAACAAGGGAAGGGGCACAATATGATTTATGTCTGAAAATCATCACTCTTATTGCTATGACAGTGATTTTTGGAATGTGGCAAGAATAGAGAACACCAGTTAAGAGATTACTACATTGATTAGGTTGATTGTGATGGAGCTGGATAAAAAGTGACAGATTTAAGATTTGTGTGTGGGAATATAGTCAACAGAATTGCTGCTGGACTGGCTATGAATGTAAAGGAAAGAGATGCTTTTGCTTAAAAACTAGGCAATAGTGGTGTCTTTAATATTGAATGATTATTATTTGGAGTATGTGGTGCTGAAAGGGCAGAGATATAAAATAAACCACTAAATATATGAATTTGAGTTGTTAATTGACAGAGGTTGGTTCTAGAAACAAATCTGAGAGTGATTAATTAGTATCAGTTTATAAACTTGGATGGGATTAACCTGGAAGAGTATAGGTAAAGAAGAGAAAAAAGGAATCAGGACACTTTAATGTTATAGTGATGATAAGGGTTTCCCAGGTGGCTCAGAGGTAAAGAATCCACTAGCCAATGCAGGAAATGCAGGTTCAATCCCTGGTCAGGAAGATCCCTTGGAAGAAGAAATGGCAACCCACTCAAATATTGTTGCCTGGGAAATCCCATGGACAGAGGAGCCTTGGGGGCTACTGTTCATGGGGTTGCAGAGAATCAGACACAACTGAGTGACTGAGCACACACACACACCACACACAATGTATGAAGAGCTTTAAAAATAAACCACCCAATAGTAACTCTTTATGGAAGGGGAGAAAGATGAGGAGAGTATCCAACCATGAAGCCAATAAAAAAAATCTTTCAGTAAAGATGCTATAGACACTTGTGTTGAATGCTACTGAGAAGTCAAATAATCTGTTTATGGCTGAAATTAAGTTGTGTCAGTTACATACAATGGAGAGTAGACCAAGAAATGAGGGAATGAGTCTAAAGATGGACAATGGAATCTGAGTTAGATGCACAAGGAAGGAAATGAGGAGATAGGAGGTGAAAGATAGTGATAAGGTTTGGTGAATCAACAGGTTCGGTGAAGCTGAAGTTAGATGTTAGGGCATGAGTACTAAAATATGTGAGCTGCAGGTGTTGGTAGTAAAAGATGATTGAAATGAAGAAATTGGGAATGGTACAGTAATCAGTGATGAGTTCAAGGTCTGTGTGATCATAGGAAATATGGAAGAAGGCAACAGTAGAATGGCAGACAAGAGACCCCAGGCAGGACGTTAAACATGTAGTCCATGTGGACATTGAAACTACCAAGATGTCAAGAGTAGGGAAGGACAGAGCCAGTGAACCTGGTATCAGTGATTTACCCAACTGAACTTAATCTCTCTTTTCAACTTCCTTTTAAATTCGGTACCTCCTTAGCAGCTTTGCCTTATTCTTTGCCTTTTGTGTACTTTTTTTCCTACTTCTAAGATTAGGCAATGAAAATAAGTTTGTTGCTATCTCTCTTCTGTAGGACAAAGCCCCCATTTTCTAATACAGTGTTTCCATGTATGAGAGATTATAAATAGTGACCTTAAGACCTCTATATGATGGAAGGCAGAACCATTTCACTAAGAACCAGTCCGGTTTGGAAGAGATAGGAGAGTCATGCATTAGAGAAATCATCTCATGACAAAGATATACAGAAACAGTCAAAATTTATTTTAGAAGAGGTTTTCAATTTTTAAATAATACAAAAATAAACAGCTATTTGTTTCAACACTTAAGGTTTACATAAATTAATTTAATCATACATAGTCTGAGGCACCAAAACACTCACATATTCCAAATTCCCAGATTCAGTCATTCAGATATTAACAAATCATTTTTTAAAAAATCAATGAAAGTAACAGTTTTTTAATACAAGCTCTTCTACTGTTGACTCTTTCTTAACCATAAATCATTTAAACATAAAATCTTGAAAGTTCCCCTGAGTTATTTCTCTTTAATGAAATTTCATTTTTCTCCCTCTGCCTAACAGGCATACTTTTTCAATTATTTACATAAATACTGATTTTTCAGTGCATGATTTAAAAATATTAAGACCCACAGTGCTTTGTAAAGAATGTTTCTCCAGAAAGTTAGGGGTGAATGAATTAATGAAACATCTGCAAGTCCTTCAAAAATGTATACACTGTCAGTGTTATAGCACATCCAGGGTAATGAGACAGCGTTTTCTGTGGGCTGGTGAATAGGTAAAACTTAAAGAATTCCAGCTTTACGTCTCAATATACCAGAGTTGGGTTCCTAACATGTTTTCACAAATCTTAATCCAAACATTTATATTATAGTAATAATTCAGAGAGGTAATCCTAAAAGATACATTGATTCTGACATAATGCCAAAAAAAAACCCACCATGCAGCCTTAAACCCAGTTTATAATAGTCATCCTAAGAAGACATAATAGCCCTCAATAAATTAAATTAATATACAGTACCAGAAAATGTCAACTGACAATGAGATGTGGAAAATAAACATTGTCTTCCTGGGAACTATTCAGCAATTATTTGCTTTCAAATGAGGAAAGACATTAATTAGAATAGGAATACTTTCTTGGTGTCAACAACTCCCTAGGGCTCTAAGGTATTGGGCTCTTTATTAGGTTATAGTTTATTTGTAGAGTTCTCTGCCTTTCACTTAAAATGAATGTATACCTTTTTGTAAAGGCCTTTTGTAGTAGTTCTGAGCTGAGGTTTTCCTGAAAACTCGCATAAGTTCAGGTAAGAAAGTACAGGCAGAGTCCAAAAAACACACACTCAGACGTTAAAACCAGGAAAACAAAATAGATGAAGTAAACTGATCTGAAAATGGCCAAAAGAAGACCATAAAAGGACCAGTGAGTAGACAGCTGTTTCTCATTCATCATAGAAGACGCCCTGGAAATATTGATAGTGTTGAAATGTGCAGCATTTTGTCATCTTGCAACAGCATTTAAGTGTTCAAACTTAGCTTTTGTTCTTATTATAAGTTGAAATTCAAGTAAAAAGATGTCATACTCATCTCCCATTGGATTGTACAGAAGAATGAAAACTGCTTTCCCCTTTAACTTGAAGAAACTTCGACATCTTTAAAATCAACATGAAAATCTTCACAAATATGACCCCCTTTTCTCCTTAACAGATGTTAAGTAACACAAGGAGTTTCATATAAATATTAAATAATTAAGTTAAAAGAAACAGTTCATATAAATAAATAAATACGATCACTAGGCTTCTACAGTTCGGTTGAACGTTCCTTTAGGAGGACTGTGGGGTTGATATCATCGAGTCCAGAGTGGGAAGAGCTTGCATTAATGGTGACTGTTTTGGTGAGGTGCGCGTCTTGAACACTGAATGAGGTAAAAGGACAGCCTTTCACGTTATTGCAGATGAGAGACTGAATTGAGGCAGTGTTGATGATTTTAAAACCTACTTCTCCACCAAAAGTGCTAGGCTTCCAGTACTCAGGAGAACATATAGGATTACCCATAAGTCCTTTCAGGGAGAATGGCGCTCCAGCTTCTACCATGGTCTCCCCAAAGATGGCGTCTGGACGAGGCTTCTCTACCAGAAGGGCGGGATACAGCTCCATGGCATCTATGTCTCCGTAGAGTGCTTCTAACTCTGCAGCCATTTCCTTCTCTCCTGTGAGGGTGACGAGGACAAAGATACAACCAATGTCAACCTTTTGACAAAATGAAGAGCTTTACCCCTTTGCTCAATTGGCTTTCAACTTCTCTGTTTCCATTTGCCCCTTGACTCTGAAGAAGTTTAGAAACTGTTTCTCACCTGTAAGTTCCTCAAATGATTCATAGGGCTTCAGCAGAAAACGTTTGCGATACTCATTAAAAGACTGGTATTTCATCTCTCTGCTCTGGTCAATTGAAGCCTTTGACACTTTCTCTACTGCGACTGGAAGATTCCTACCGCCAGCAACCTGTGGAATATGAATTAAATTGTAGAACAGAATTAACTGAGTTTTAGGCATATGTAAGATTTTTTTTTTCTTTTTTTTTCTTTTTTGGCCATGCCAAGTGGCCTGTGGGATTTTATTTCCCTGACCAGGAACTGAACCCAGCCCCTCAACAGTGAGAGCAAGAAATTCTAACCACTGCACCACCAGGGAATTCTCAAGATTTCTATTTGAAAAACATCCCTTGAGTGCCAAGTAGGTAAACTGATGTTACCAGTGGAGACCTAAACTATAAGTTTAGAATATTTATAGATTATTTCTATGATCTAGATTACAATGGTAACATTATATTATAATCGAGATCATATAATATTAAATATATATATTACATATCCTTATTTCAAGGAAAGATTACTAGCAATAACTAACCTTTCAGTAAGTTTAAGAAAAATCTTTCCTGCAGCAGACATTCTAGTTACCGACTAGTCCTTTGTTTTATTTTGTTTTTCACTAATAATGCTTACCCTGCCAGCATTTTGCCTGGTGAATGATTCAACAAACTGAGTGACACCATGTTCCAGTAAGATAGAATTATTATAGATAAACTGCTGATAGTTGTACTCCTGGCCATCAATCCGAAAGACATCAGGCAGAAGGGGATGCCAGTGGTAGAGTGTGTTAAACTCAGCAGCAATACGGTTTTGGTACTGGAACTGCTGGTTGAAAAGCAGCTCTGGGTCAAACTTCAGTTTGAAGTGATAGCCACTCAAGTGCTGTACGTAGTCTTCAATCACAATCTTAATAGTTTCTCCTACGGGCACACAAAAAAAATTGAAAACATGATTTCTTTCTGCTCACAAATGTTCAAGCAACTAAATGCAACTGGTCATTAGGCATTCCTGTTGAGACTTTCTTTTCCACCATTGAAAGGTAGGTGTCTGACCAATCCAGCTGAAGGACTGAATGAATATGGAGCAGGTGATTGTACATGCATGACACTCCCCCAGAATTACATTCCTCCCAAGCAAAGGAAACAAGTTCGTTTTCTTTGAGGAAGAGGGTTTTCTTTAAGTGATTTGCTCTTCTTGCTTACCTATCAGGATTAGCCTGCTTGTCTGGAACAACTGCTCATCGCCCCATTCTGGATGCTCTTGTTTCAGCACATCACACACTCTGTTGTGTTCCCGCAGCCAAATGGTGGCATACATCATCAGACCAGGCACCAGACCAAAGACCTCCTGGCCCACAGCAAACTTTAAGTGTTCAGGAACATGAGGTGGGTAGATCATTTCGACCTGAGTATCTTTGACTGTGGGAGGATACATCTCTCCATTAATCATCTAAAAAAGTATCAGTAAGAAGAGGTAAGAAACAAATTTTCATCATTAGAGATTTGGAACATAGGTAGCTGGTAAGTCATAAGGAATTCTTAATATTTAAATGGAACAAACCTGATATTTCATTTTTCCATCCTTGAAAAGGCGCAGCTTATGCTGTCTCTCTAAAGATTCACCATAAATGTGACTTAAGTCCACCTAGAAGATTATGGAAAATTTTTTATTTGCTACTGAAGTTGTTCTTACGTAAAATGCCTAGGATGTACTTATTATTAAATACTGTGATGATTTAGTTTGCTTTAAAATTTTTCAGTAACACATTTTTTTTCACAGCCACAAAATAATAAATTAACTTGTTTATCCACTAAAAATAACCTCATAGCGTTTAAACCTAAATGTCTCCTATTAGTATCTCATATAGAGCCTGTATCAGAAATTTTCACTCTAATTATATGATATTTCTTTTAAAAAGCAGCAGAAAATGTTTTGATATAAAATACTTATTAATTGAAGCTATTTCACTGAAACCCAAGAAATAATAATGCTGCAAAAATCTTACCTTGTAATATTTAAGGCAGCATAATCAAGGTAAGAAATTTTTTTGAAGACAACTTTTTTTGCAGATCCAATATTTTAAACTAAAAATATGAGTCAAACTACAAATAATAATCTGTATATATGTATGTAAGTATGTGTGTGTGTGTGTGTGTGTGTGTTTATTCAATCAGTGAGATAAAATGGAAACTCCATTAAGGTTTATACACACAGAACTTGATTTGCTACAAATTCTCATTTAACTCTGTCTTACCCCATGGTTCTTTCCCTTAGTGAAAGCTGGTCCTCGTTCAAAATCTGTCTTGAAAAACTGATGGGTGAAGTGCTGGGCAAAGAATGCAAACATCATATTTGTGCCTTGGGGATCAGGAATGAACTTTCTTCTTAGAAGTACTTTTTTCACAACTTCTTTTGAATCAGGAAGCTCTTTCCTCCCTATAAAAAATTAGAAAGCCAAAATAAGAACGCATCTATTTCTTTAAGGAAGCAGAGAGTGAACTGTCAATTTATCAGGGTCTTCTTCACTTACAGGAAAAATACAACTTTGAACAGGATAGTAATATTAATGGAAGTTCTAAGATATAGGGGAACAACCTCTTACTGAATAATCTTTAACTAGTATTAATTCAGTTTTAATGAAAGAATTTGAGAACATATGACATTATACCAAAATGTCTGGGCTTCCCTGGTGGCTCAGATGGTAAAGAATCTGCCTGCAATGAAGAAGACCTAGATTTGATGCCTAGGTTAGGAAGATTACCCTGGAGAAAAGAATGGCAGTACTCTCGCCTGGAGAATTCCATGGACATAGAAGCCTGGCTGGCCACAGTCCATGGAGTCACAGAGTTGGACTCAATTGAGTGACTAACATTTTCACTTTTTCATACCAAAATGCCTACTTGCTTCCATGGAATAGTTTACATGGACTCACAATTTCAAAAAATATCCAGAGATATCCATAAGAAGGGAAAAAATGGTTTTATTAACAAATAATTTAGTTTGGGGCAAAATTTTCTAGGTATCAATCCAATCCCAGTTACAGTTAATACAACTCTGTCTCCTGTCACTCACCTTTCACACCCATGGGTGTTGGGCAGTCATCGGGCACAGGAGGAAGAGCTCTGGTGTAATAGGACAGGTTAGAAAAGGCTTCCCAGCTTTTATAGCTGTAGTGCACATTATAAGTGGGCGGACTGTCAATCAAATGTGATCTCGCTGAAATTTTAGAGGAAAAAAAATGTTATTTGTTTCCATCCACAAAGCAAATTAATGCTCATTTGTATTGTATAGTGTACAAAGTGGCACTAGAATAAATTTAATTAATACAAAGATACTCTATTTTAAAGCAATCATACTTTAAAGCCTGCTACTGGTGCTCAAAAAAGAGGAAAGAATGATGCCTTAAAAGGCGTCTTTGATAAAGCATGTATTCTTTACAGGAGATGTTTTGGTCTAGCCATTATGATTTTTTTCAAATAACCATCCACTTATTGTTCAAGAGGCCCATGAGCAAAATGTCTGGGCTTGACACTCACTTTAGAAATAAAGGTTATTTTCTTGCCGACCCCATTCTAAATTATTCATTTATTTTAATGGATGCAATTCTGTGCCCCATGGCCACTCAATAAACAACTGGACCACGCTTCCTTCACAAACTGTAGAGAACAATGAAGGTCAGCAGAGGTATGCAGTATTTTAAATAGAATTCTGCCTGTGGGACAGAACTTTAGAAACTTCAAGGGATTCAGATATCAATATTTTTGGCCATTAAGATAGTAAGCAAACTAAAATGGTATATTTAAAGACATTTTGAATTAAGTTTAAAAATCTAAAATTTGTAAAGTACATTTTTCTTTGAGGCAGCTGAGAACCCTAGAAAGTGATTTGTACTTACAGGTCAACACATATCTCATAATCATATTTCGCAGGAAGGAGATATTATTGACAATGTTCCAGACTCCCTTGAAGTGGGTAAGTATGTAGTGCACTGTGTTGGGAGTGGGTTTCAGGAGTAATTTTATTCTCGTCAGAAATTCAGCTGCAATGAGAGGAAAAAGAAATTAATGGGACACATTATGACACAATTCTGTAAAATGATAACTGTATATATCCCATTCCAAATGAGGGCACTCAACAACAAACTTACGTGTGGTACAGTTTTCACCATAGAATCCTGTTCGGGTACAGTCACATTTATACTGGTCAAATCCTACACTCATACATACACCTCGATTCTGGCATGGATGGGAACAGCAAGGATTTGCTACAAAAACAGTAAAGACAGTGAATAAATAATTCTTCAGTGTCAATCTTGACTTAAGCATTTAATTGCTTTACTTACTATGAGTCAACTTCACAATAAAAAATTCAAGAAATATACAGGTAGTCATGGGAAAACTTTTTTTTTTACTTGCCTCACAGAATGGTTATAATGTAGGAATGCCAACTTCCTTTTCTAAATAAAGGTAACAGAATATTCCATCAGGGAAATCATGTTGCTAAATTTTTCTTAGAAACTTTAGATGCTCAAATTAGCCTTTAGAAGAGGCTCAAAGTAGGACTTTCAAAACTAAAGTGAATAGATCTAGTATTTTAATCAAACTTGGGTGTTTTTTTTTTTTCCTTCTTTCTTCTCTGTCATAAAGCCGGAGAAAGATCTGGAGGAAGAGCATTCTAAGTTGAGAGAAAAACAAGTGCAAAGGCCTTGAGGCATGCCTGACAGCCGGAGAGGCAGAGGTGGAAGCTAAATTCAGAAAAGGTGAAGGCAGATCCTGTGGTTTTTATGGGAACTTGGATTTTAGTCCACGTGTCAAGGGAGATCATTGATTTACAGTATTAAGGTGGCATGACTTAATTTACGTTAAAAACAAAAACGGCAAAAACAAACTATAGAAAAATTTGCAAAGTAAGAAACCATGAGCAAAATGTCTGGGCTTGACACTCACTTTAGAAATAAAGGTTATTTTCTTGCCGACCCCATTCTAAATTATTCATTTATTTTAATGGATGCAATTCTGTGCCCCATGGCCACTCAATAAACAACTGGACCACGCTTCCTTCACAAACTGTCGAGAACAATGAAGGTCAGCAGAGGTATGCAGTATTTTAAATAGAATTCTGCCTGTGGGACAGAACTTTAGAAACTTCAAGGGATTCAGATATCAATATTTTTGGCCATTAAGATAGTAAGCAAACTAAAATGGTATATTTAAAGACATTTTGAATTAAGTTTAAAAATCTAAAATTTGTAAAGTACATTTTTCTTTGAGGCAGCTGAGAACCCTAGAAAGTGATTTGTACTTACAGGTCAACACATATCTCATAATCATATTTCGCAGGAAGGAGATATTATTGACAATGTTCCAGACTCCCTTGAAGTGGGTAAGTATGTAGTGCACTGTGTTGGGAGTGGGTTTCAGGAGTAATTTTATTCTCGTCAGAAATTCAGCTGCAATGAGAGGAAAAAGAAATTAATGGGACACATTATGACACAATTCTGTAAAATGATAACTGTATATATCCCATTCCAAATGAGGGCACTCAACAACAAACTTACGTGTGGTACAGTTTTCACCATAGAATCCTGTTCGGGTACAGTCACATTTATACTGGTCAAATCCTACACTCATACATACACCTCGATTCTGGCATGGATGGGAACAGCAAGGATTTGCTACAAAAACAGTAAAGACAGTGAATAAATAATTCTTCAGTGTCAATCTTGACTTAAGCATTTAATTGCTTTACTTACTATGAGTCAACTTCACAATAAAAAATTCAAGAAATATACAGGTAGTCATGGGAAAACTTTTTTTTTTACTTGCCTCACAGAATGGTTATAATGTAGGAATGCCAACTTCCTTTTCTAAATAAAGGTAACAGAATATTCCATCAGGGAAATCATGTTGCTAAATTTTTCTTAGAAACTTTAGATGCTCAAATTAGCCTTTAGAAGAGGCTCAAAGTAGGACTTTCAAAACTAAAGTGAATAGATCTAGTATTTTAATCAAACTTGGGTGTTTTTTTTTTTTCCTTCTTTCTTCTCTGTCATAAAGCCGGAGAAAGATCTGGAGGAAGAGCATTCTAAGTTGAGAGAAAAACAAGTGCAAAGGCCTTGAGGCATGCCTGACAGCCGGAGAGGCAGAGGTGGAAGCTAAATTCAGAAAAGGTGAAGGCAGGTCCTGTGGTTTTTATGGGAACTTGGATTTTAGTCCACGTGTCAAGGGAGATCATTGATTTACAGTATTAAGGTGGCATGACTTAATTTACGTTAAAAACAAAAACGGCAAAAACAAACTATAGAAAAATTTGCAAAGTAAGAACAGCTTGCTTTTAAGCTATTCTGTTTATCTTAAAAAACAATCTGGGCTTCCCTGGGACGGGAAAGCACTAAGGAAGTTGTATAATATAATTATTTTCATTCAATAACAGTTAGGTGGTATACAAAAGCATCTCACATATATTGATCAGATCTTCTTGTCTTATAATGACAACCTGCAAATTAGTATCCCCGTTCCTATTTAGCAGATGAGTAAATACGGGCTCAATAACGGGCCCATGAAGATTAGAGCTGAGGGCAAAGCGGGGCTATCCGTCCAGTTTATTTGGACTCGACTGGTCCGGACTCGGCCTCTGAATTCTGGGAGTATTTAGAATACCTGGAATTCCCGGGAGAAGTCTGAGCAGAAACAGCCCGGGTGGACGGGCGCGGGCGCCAGGTACTCACTCACCTGCTCCGCAGAGCGCCGCGGCGGCGCAGAGCAGCAGGGCTCGGGCGAGCATCTCGGCTGCGGGCGGGGCGCGGGGCCGGCGGAGGCGTAGAGGTGCGCGGATCGCGGCTGCGGGGCCGGAGGAGGCGCTGTGCGGAGTTCCGGGGCGTCCTCTGACGCTTGCTGCGAGTCCTTTGACAACTGGAAGCTAACGGAGAGGACCTTCCTTTTATGCGTGAAATAGCCCACGTGACGGCATGACTGTTTCTTTCCGCCTTTCCTTCCCCCCTTCCAAAAATTTTCCCCCTCTTTCTACTTAAGCAATTGCGTAAGACCCGGGTGGGGGTAGGATTTCTTTTCTTTTTTTTAGCTACGCAAACTAGAAAATCGGAAACTTGGGGAGTCGCGCTTGGCTTCCCTAAGGTGGGTGCAAAGCGGATCGCCCCCTCCCAGTTCCGACCTTACAGCGCCCCTCGGCCGGTTTCTCCGCCCCTGGCGCCGGGCTTCGCGCCACACTCCTTTCCTTCTGTCGCGGTTTGGACCGAGGCTCCCGAGAGGGGGTCCGAGGTAGATCTTCTGGGTGGGGGCGGGGGTGGGGAGGGCGGCCTCCGGGCTTCCTCTCCGGGAATCGATCAGGGGCCTGGGAGGTTCCGGAGAGCAGGGAATCCCCTCGCGCGCCCCCGCCCCCCACCCCCAGCGGCTGGTCCCTCGGCTTTTGGGGGCCGAGGAAGTCCCAGTCTGGAGAGACTGGGGAGAATCGGGCCAAGCAAGGCTGACATGTTCTACTCATGTCATGTATTTCAGAGGTGTCCGGATTTCAGTGACTACTCTTAACCTCGTGTAGATGTACGCACGTACAAAGCTTTACATTTTATTTATTTTTTTATTTTTTTAACCGATCGAATGAACTGTAATAGCTATAGTCAGTGTACGTACCTGTAGGGTTCTTTTTCTAGCTAAGTTGTTCTCAACATAAAAAATACTGTTCTTCATGCCACCACCCGGACGTTGCTTCCTGGGGAGAGGAAATAAAGGTAAATTCCTCCCCTTAAAACTGACCCTGAGCACTTACCCTGTAAATAGTCAGTCTGAGATTGAGGGGTCACCGCTGTAACCTTTCCTCTCCTCCCGTGAACAGCAGAAGCGGAGGTGACCGGGATGTTTAAGGATGCTCACCGTCCGGAAGATCTGCTTTAAGGCATTTCTTTCTCTGCAGCATGATTTTCACTGTTTTGGTCACCACTCTTCACAGGAGATGCCAGTTGAAGGAAGTAGATTTTTAAAGCTTGCTTTGTGTGTATGTTTTCTGCCTACTTCTCTAGGATGAGTTGTGACAAAGGGTTAAAATACAACATTACATTTACTTTTCGGTTGTCTGGGTTTATTAGGGCCAGTTTTCTAGTCTCATTTTGGAAGGTAATTTGATGAGGAATTTGGATGGAATGGATGTAAAGAAAGGGTGATATTGACACTTTTCAATTTCATCATCTTTTGCTTTTGTTTGATTCTGTCTTGTGGTCTGGAGGGGTGTGTGAAGGTGAAATGCCACCCCCCCCACACACAAAAAAAAGAGAAAAGAAAAAAGTCGCAGCATTTAGAGGCCTTTAAAAGAAGACAATCAACTTTTTTTTCAACATTTTGCTTAATGTGATTCTATGTGAGACAAATGACTAAAATTCTATTTCACCCAGGAAGCCTTTCTCCTCTAGTCATATTTAATCATTCCATTTGTGACACTCCCATTTATTGTACTGAGTCTTACATGAAATTTCAACTAAGAGCGTAGATGTAAACAATCTTTTAATAATTCCAGTTTTCTGTTTCATTTTAAGTGGTAGGATGTGTCTACTCAAATTTTAAGTGGATATTTAGGACTACCAATTTGAGTTTGGTTAGATGCCAAGGAAGAATTCATACTCTGACTCTGTTGGCTTTATATTGTAATCCTGAATTCATTTTGAAGTCATCATCATCATTGTCCTCATCTGATCTTAATTGTATACCTGCTGCGTATAAAAGTGTGTTCTATTGTTTGCAGGGAGACTAAATTCAAAGTGAGAACAAAACAGGGTGTTGAGAATAATCAGATTTAGACTACTTGGAATTTAAAGAAATTGAACTCCATTTCATAGTGGAAATTCAATTAAAAAATACCTATTCGGTTAAACTACTTGGTTTAATCTGTAACTTCTATAGCACAATAGAGTAAAGAGAATTGCATGTACCTATGCAGTCAGAAAATAGTTCAAGGAGAAAATGACACTTTAAGGATGGGTGCAGTTTAGAAAGGAAGTCCAGTTATGGACTTGAGGAAAAACTGTTTATGATTTATTAACTTTGGTAAGTCTGGGACAGTAAAATAGAATGGGTAGTGCATTTAGGAATGCTGGTCATGGGGGAATATTAAATGTCCCAAACCAAATCAAAATGGCTAAATCCTGTCCTATGTGGAAAAATACTATGATTATTATGCCATGATATGTCACAGCATAAAAAATAAGATTATAATCACGTGAGACTTATGTTTCTCACATGTGTCTGTGTTTAGTGTTTCTGTGTTCATTTTAGACAAATACATGTATCTGTTATATAAAATGCATTAGTCTCTGAAATTTGTTGGAGAATTGTGTTAACTGAAAATAAGAAAGCATATTAAAAAAATCTTCCAGAGCATTCTGCTGCGTTTTACTGCCCCCTTCTGCTGCTTCAGTTTTTATCAACTTCTTTTTCTCTCTTGATTGTTGTAAAGATCACTGGGTAGATTTTGTGTCTGATGTTACAACATTCTTAAAAGTCTACATATGCAGTGTTCATCTGAGATTTAACTTTCATGAATATACTAAAAAAGGAATGAAATATGTGTTAGTTGAAGTAATAAGCCATTCATATGAGCTAAAAGAAAATGAACATTAAAGCCTATTAATACCCAAAATTCCAAAGGCACTAACATTTTCAAAGAAGATATTTCTAACTGCTTTGAACAGGGTTCTACCATTCAGGGCCTTCCCAGGTTGCACTAGTGGTAAAGAACGCGCCTGCCAGTGCAGGAGACATAAGAGGTGTGGGTTCGATCCCTGGGTTGGGAAAATCCCCTGGAGGAGGGCATGGCAACCCACTCCAGTCTTCTTGCCTGGAGAATCCCATGCACAGAGGAGCCTGGCAGGCTACAGTCCATAAGATCGCAAAGAGTAGGATACAACTGAAGTGACTTTGCACACACACGCGCACTATTCAGACATGGGAGGATGGTCATATTCACTATCTTAGACATGGAACTTTTTTCTATCTCCCTGTCTTTACCTTTAGCCTATTCTAATTCACTCAAAGATAGTGCAGATTGCCCTTGTCTTTTTTATTCAGGACAGGCTGACTAGAAAGAGAGCTTTACTATCTTGCATCTTGCCTGAAGAGACATTTTTAACAAGTTTTTGCCACAGTGTACATCTGTTTCTTGAAGGGCAGAAACAGATGTACTCATAAAGTACCCATAAAAGACCTCTACATTAGTCTTTTAGTGTGTGCGTGCATGCTAAGTTGCTTCAGTCATATCTGACTCTTTGCAACCCCATGGACTGTAGCCTGCCAGGCCCCTCTGTCCATGGGATTCTCCAGGCAAGAAGACTGGAGTGGGTTGCCATGCCCTCCTCCAGGGGATCTCCCCGACCCAGGGACCGAACCCGCATCTCTTATGTCTCCTGCATTGGCAGGCAGGTTATTTACCACTAGTGCCACCTGGGAAGCCCATACTTTTAGTAAATCCTGGTTATTTACCTATTCCTGACTACACAAGATAGGAGTTTCAACTAGAAAAACAAGAGCATGTGGACCAAGAATGTCACCTCTCATTTCAGTAAACAAGGGATGGAAAACCCTCAGACACGGCTCCCTGCCCCCACCCCAGCCTGATGGTACAGAACAGTGGCTCCCGAGGGGAGGTAGACAGGCTTCCACTGCAGTGACTGTGCGCCCTGAGGGGACACAGGGTGCAGAACAATGGGATAGTGGCCCTACCAAAGAAATAATTTCAATAATCCCCGGGTCTTGCGTTTTCCCATGTGTGGACAGCACTAAATTCACTAGCTTGAGATATCTGGTTTCTTTTGATTAGCAGGAATCTTGATCTTCCACTTCCTGGGTTTTGGAGTTTTTGTTTTGCAAAAACACTTGTATATCCTGACTCCTTCTTTACCTCTTCAGAAAAGTCCTTCAGAGTTATATCTGAGAGATGGTATTCTGGGCTTAACACCAAAGAAAACATAATTCTCAACTTTTAGGTTGTGCAGGGTTTTTGGTTTTTTTGTTTTTTTTTTTTTCAGTTGACAAGGACAATTTTTTTAATAATAATAAAAAAAATCCTTGTCAAATAAACCGATGAAGAAATACCAAACAATATTTAGTGCTAAGTTTTATTTTAAAAAAGTATCTCCTTTTTCTCACCTTAGTTCCCGGATAGATTTTTCTTTTCCTTCATTTTTATGGTTGTATATCATAACTACTAAGGTGACTCGAGGTAGCTTGAACATGGTCTTTGTGTTAGAGCTAGGAATCCTAAAAGGGGATAAGGAGCAGCGTGTGCTGGGGCCAGCGTAATGAGACCACACTGACAGTGACAGATTAAACCGAGTTTAAATGAGCTTGGAAGTTGCCACTCTATCCTAACAAAAATCTGAACAAAGTGAAAACTCAAAATGCTATTCTTAGATCCTCCAAAGAAGTGAGGTGACAGGATAAAAAGCTGCCCTCAAAATTGGAGGGGGCGTCCATGGTGGCTCAGCGGTAAGGAATTCGCTGGCAATGCAGGAAACACGGGTGCAACCCCTGGGTCAGGAAGATCCCCTGGAGAAGGAAATGGAAGCCCACTCCAGTATTCTTTTCTGGGAAATCCCATGGACAGAGGAGCCTGGAGGGCTACAGTCCATGAGGTTGCAAAAGCATCTACCCGACTTGGCAACTAAACAGCAACAGCAACAAAATTGGAGAGACTGGCCATACAGAGAAGCGCAGTTTATCAGAA